TTGTGAGAGCCTCCATTTCCTTTTAATAACTTGGTCTGACTACAGACCTGTAGGAAGCACAAGAAAGATGGACTTCACCTCGTATATATGTCCCAAACGGAGGAGCACATGTCCATCATCTAACTCCTGTAAAACAAATGTCAGGAACAGATCAGAGGGGAGAAATCGTGCATAAGACTGGATGGGAAAAATGAGCAATCACCTGCAATGTAATTAATACAACATTGATAGGTAAACTATAATTTGCAGCCATCGATGTGGCCTTAGACAAATGAGAAGATTTCCACTTTTCAGTGTTCTGCAACAAGAAGTGCTAGATTATGAGAAAACAGGATTTAATACTTGATCCTTTTTGTCAACAAGACCTAAACTTACCCCATGCGAAAAGGCTAAAACCAGGGGTGAATAAATTTCTTGACCAGTTGTCCGGCGCCAACGGGATCCAGTACCAAGCTTATTGATGCTCATATAATAATTTCCCCGAATCTGACAAAGAGAAGTGAAAAAAGAATTATGTCTCAAAGAAGCCTTATAATCAAACAACGCTTAGTCTCAGTAGAAGCCCTCTATCAATAACATGCTCGTTGATGCACATATTTCTCGGGATTCAAATCTTCCAATCAGTTACCCATTGGTCATTAGTTTTATCTTTTAATAGTTTGAAGGAATTTATAGTTTTGGAAAATATGCTTGATGTTACCAGGGAAGCAGCAATCTTATTATTTTAGACCAGTAGTTTAAATTCTCCACTAGGAAGACATTTTTCAACTACTCTTGGCACGTAATTTCATACCGTTAATCCTTCACATGTATTATCTGCACATACTGATTCATCGAGTGCTTCACCTACTCCTCTAGAATCATCATTTAGAATGCGCCTGAATAAATATATAATTGATATCGGTAAACGTAATTGCATAAAGTAATTATCAGAACTGCAGAGATGTATAACAAATGGATCAACGAAGGAAACAAGTTGGAGGTGTTTGGCAAACCTATGAAGCATCAATTCAATTTCTCCATCATTAATGCTGCCTCCTCCAGTTGCTCGATCGACCAGAATAGAGAACTCAGATTTCTTATCCTCTATGAAAATTCCAAGATTGATCTAATAGAAAGAACGAAATCTTTTTAATCAAAATTGAAATGAAAGCAGAAAAAGTCAACCAACTTGAAAAACGTCGCCAAGTTTTTTTCTGAAGTGTCAAAATATTCTCATGAATGATGGAATATTAGAAGAGATATTATTATAATTAATTTCCAATTTTGTTGATTATTTTAAAAAAACATAATTAGTGTTTTGATTAATAGCTTTTATTAAATACTTCCTACATAGAATAGGATATTTGAAACCCTATATAAAAGGGTCCTATGCGATGTAATTTCGAACAACTTTCTAAAGTCTCTCTTCTTCTCTCCCTTCCGTCCGTCTAATTCTCATTCCCTTTCAACCTCCCCTCTTCTACCTACCTCCATTCTCTTCTTCTCTCCCCTTTCCCCTCCTCCTACAATTGTTCCATAACATCTTACGTCAATTTGGTATCAGAGCTCAAGATGTTTCCTTTGACCAACACTTACAAACCAATGCAAACAAAATCCACCAACCCACCACTACCCTTTGAACCCATCACCAACTTTACCCATTCGACCAAAACAAAAAGGGACAGTAAGCAGCAGCCGAAAAGTTTTTTTTCTGCTTCTTAAATCTTTGCAGCTTGTTCTTTGTTTGGGAAAAAAAGTCGTGAACGCTGGAATCATTCACCAGTTTAGCATTAGCTGAGTTTTTTTTTCTATTATGTCCCTTCGAAAAAAGGGAAGAACACTCAAATTCTGATCGTGTTTACTGCTCTTCTCATCTGCTGCTCCAGAAACAACTTACCTCAAATTAACTAATATGCCAGAATATTGAAACAAATCCAGAATATTGCAGATGATTCATGTGCACACGTGATAGGGAATGCATGTGGACATGATGTTTCCCAGACACTTTTAGAGATGATACCATGCATTTCGGCACGGATGAAGATAAAATGCACAAGATTCTGACTTTAATCACCTGGAAACACCTTTATGAAATAGGAACATACCACAGCACTAAAACTTTAGCACTATCAAACCGAGATGCATAACAAAGCAGAGAAAAGTGAACTGATATTAGTCCACAACTACAAACAATGAGCTCAATCAAAATATAGTACCATGGCAAAGTAAAGTGATGATATCCACACTTCTGAGGAGTTCTCCAATAATTAAGTTAATTACCCAGGAAAAAAAAATATGTTGCAACGTGGCTGATGATCATGTCGCGTAAAAATGAGTTAGTCAAACAGGAAGACATGCTGAAATAGATGCACAAATGAAAATTTTGACATTAGGCCTATTGTTTGACCTCAGAAAAATGTTATTATCAATCCTGTAATTTCTTTTTATTGTTTAAAATTGCGCTATTATCATAATTCGAGATATAGATTTGAAACCCAAAAAGGATTCAATCAATACCTTTATTTCAGCAGAGACTTTAAACCTTCTAGTATAAATCTCACCCACCCAGGTCCTCACGAGTCTTTAGGGACACAAAACTTAAACCTAGGATGAGCTAATAAAATCCTCTGTATGGCTCAAGATCAGCCCTATAGTGAGAAGTCTAAATTTCTTATGATAAGATACATATCTTGTCAGTTTGACAAGTAGTGTAACTGGCTAGAAAGTCCATTCACATTACAAGAATTCTAAGTTCCTTCAAGTTAAATATGCAAATCATAATTAAGAAATTGAGTCAGGACAATTACTGGATAGTAGTTTCCTGCTACACGTTGTGTAACTTCGAGGGGCCACCCAGGTCTATAATCCCGAACCTGAAAAGCCACAGGATAATGAATTAAATAGGTGGAGAAGAAAGAAAATGGAGATTATCTCAGCAAGAAAAGGAAAAACCAAGTAATAGAGTGACAAGGTGGCTGTAAGATAATATTTCATTATTGGCGCATACTTATAGAACTGCATGTGCTATTTTTTCCACTTACCACAGTTTAGATATTCATAGTATTGAAGAAAAATGCATGAAATAAGGAAAATCATTTTCCTTAAGTCAAAACTTTCCTGAAGAACATGGCCAGTTAATTCAAGAAAGCAATTCTTGAATGTATAAGAGTATAATACAAGTTGTTGATGTCAAAAAATGACGTGGCACTCTTTGATCAACTTTCTGGATTTGAACTAGATGAAAGAATGATAATGCTAGATCTTTGCAACTGTACTGAGAAAATATCAGTTCGGAGTTTCCCTCTCATCCACCCGTCATCCCTTTATACTGGAGGGTGGGCTGAAACAAGCCGCCCTAGCCATGTCAAATTACAGTGTTTCGACCTAGGAATTTGTGCAACCTCCCATTTGATGGAATCCAATTGGTTGTAAGGTCAACTGTGGCGGGTCACGATGACGGCTAGGCCATTGGCCAGTACCCTAAGCTGTCATATCACCCACTTGATTGGTTGGTCAGGGCGATGCCACCGTCAAGGGAGAGTAATTCATCTATCGTGACATAAGTGATGTTTACTTATGATGTCTCCCATTATCTAACTCTGACATCGATGATTGGATATCGGTCCAAGGTTCCAAGCTATCGTGTCTAACTTCCTTGACAGGTAGGCTCCTTTGATCAAGTCAAAGGGGCCCAAACTCATGTGATGCGGAATCTTCTATTAGCAACAACACAAGTACACAACCTCAATATTCATCTTGAATGCATGGAGAATTAATATGCGGACCCTTTCAACAAAGTGTAAAATATATAGGTCTAAAACGAGAATAATATCTACAGGCAATTCAAATGTTGTATTTGCTAAACAAAGGAGTAACTATGAAGATAGACAAGAAAATTAGTAGTAGAATTTCTTAAAAGATAACACCTTCATATTTGCATGATCTACAGATCAAAGAGAAGAATATCGAAAGAGTTACCCGTTTGAGGAAGTCCCTCGCATTGGAATCAGTGTAGAACACTGTATTTGTGACCATATTAGCTCTCATTCTTGTAATAACTTCTTTCCCAATACTATCATCCGTAGGAATTGGACCAATCTTCAATGAAAATTATGTATCAGAATTTACGTACAGAAAGGGGAAAACAAGTTGTCAAGTTAAAGTGGAAAATAATGGGAAAGGTAAGGTGAACAAGACCGACTTACAGTGAACTCAACTTCAGCGTGACCTTTATCTCGGTAAACTCTAATAATCTGAAAGTTTATGCATAATACATCCTGATAAGTGACACAATGATTGTAAAAAACAATGTAGATGTAATTTTACATGCCGTAGCTCATATGCACAAGAACTTTCTCCACCCAAAAAGAAAAAAAAAATTAAAGATGAGAGAATAGAACACAATAAGGTATAGATAGAAAGGTGAAATTATAAAGAAGTTTAGTGTATATTGGAGATATATTTGCATTTGGACAATTTATTGGGTGATATTTCGTGTTCAGTTACGAGATTTTGCAAACAAACATTGTTCAAATGCAAAACCAGCTGGATGAAAGTTGCATGCAACTTTTTGTTGTAAGATGTTGAGAGATTTAGACTCATAATTAATAAAATCAACAACCTGGTAAACCCATGAACTGAATTGCTGGTGAACCTCATGAACAAGTGGTCCTCTTATGACCTTCAAGGGAACCTGCAATCAGCATACCAAATATCAATAACTAACTTTGTGAAAGTAATAAATAAGCAAAGTATGACATGCGAGCTTAATTTCCAATGGACACCGAGTATAGAATAATGAGACAGTTCTCTGGAAGGTTAAGAATTACTTGGACCACCTATACAATTAAAGAAACACCTATTCTTAGCCGGAGAAAACATCACTCACTGATCTTGAGACAACTTGAGGTGGCGATCCATTAGGTCGAAAAATATAAGCACCGGAACTCTGCATGATATAATATGATTAACGAAATGTAGGACTAGTACATGCATAATGTATTAAATAAAAGTGAATGTATGTATACCTGGAAATCAGCATCTCCCCGGCTTGAAGCATACCAAAGATAGCTTTGTTGTACTGGTATATCAATCTATTAAAACCACATTAATCATGTGTAGGTGAGGGTATTTCATCATGAGGTCAAACTAAATGCTTACACATAAATTGCTGCTAAATAACATATTAAATGCCCCACCCAAAAAAAAAAAAACACTAGATGTCTTGGTGTGCATAAATCTTACAGTGAAAACATTTAACGTATCTATGTAAGTTAAAACGGTGAGAGCATTTTGAATGACTATGGTGTTAAGATGGCTTATTATGTACAATGTTTCTTAAGCACATAACAAAACTTGTGCAAATATCTCAGTCATTCTACTATAGTACTCCCGAACACTAAAAAAATTTCCCAGGGTATCAAAGGAGACTTATGAATAGTTTCTACTCTGTCTAATAACTTAACTCAAATCCTATGTTTCTGTTAAAATTGGTATCATTTAATACTAGTCTACCAGGATGAATTAATGTTTGGCATCACAAGAAGTGAGAAATGTTCGGGCAAGTTTATTTAGTTATAAGGCAATTGCCTAACAAAATGTGAACAATACTCTAATGTTTTTTTAGTTGCCAAAGAATGGCATCACTAAGGCCACAATTTCACAAAACTTACAA